GACTTATGAAGACATCTAAACTGAACTTCAACTTTGGATTGTGATGCAGAGGAAGAATTTATCCAGCTGGGATCAGAGTGATAGGCACCCATTCCCAGAACTTGGAAAGTGTTTTACTCTCCTCAAAGGAATGACATTCAGAAACGTGGTACAAATATTTAATGCTTACAATTGGCCAGGTGCTGAGGGTGCAACAAAACAGACAGTCTAAAACTCCTGCACTCACAGCACTTACGTTTTACTGGGGAAAGATAGGTGATAAGAAAGCAGTCGAAAAACATGATCACTCCATATGGTGAATAATACTTAGAAGACAATAAAACAGGCTAATGTTCTAGAGAGTGCCAGGGTGTAGGGGAGATTAGATGGTCTCAGAAGGTATTGCTTAGGAGCTGATATTTTTAACTGAGACTTGAGTGATCCAAAGGTGCCAGCCATGCTGAGATTTGGAAGAAATCCTAGCACATGCTATTTCCTCTGCTCGGAATGAGCTGGATTAATTAAGGTATAAGAGGTGGTAGTACGGCTGCAAAATGGTGAACAAGGGAAGAATAGTAAGAAATTAAGGCCAATGGTAGCAGCAGGCCCAATCACCTACAATGAAGCAAGCCAAGGTGAAAAGATTGGCTTATATTTTAAGGGAGAGGAAAAGCCATTGGAGTGTTTTAAACTTAGGCATCATAAGACTCAATTTGGGTTTTTAAAATATAATTTTGGTTGCTGTGAGGATAGATTTTAGGGAGACAAGGGTAGAATTAGAGAGTTAGTAGACTGCTGGAGGGATCTAGACAACGCTAGACATGGGTAAATGTGCTTTGAGTAAGAATGTCTTTTGGTGATAAAAACTTGCACAGACTTGCAGATGGCTTGGAGCTGAGGGGGAGGGAAAGGGAAAAATCAAGCTCCCCTGGGATTTTGACTTAAGTAACTGAATGGATGTCTGAACTGGGGTGGGGACTCAAGAAGAATAAAACAATTGCTTCCAACAGTGGTGATTCAAGACGAGCTCTGCTTTGGCCATATTAAGTTTGAAATCCCTATGAGCAATTCAAGGGGAGATGAATGCTGACTAGTTAGATGAACACAAATGTCTCTGTGCTACAGGAGAAGGAGGTCAGGGCTGGAGGTAAATATTTGCAAATTTGTGACTCATTGGCTAATAGGTGAGATTTCACTTTGTTCTTTGTGGCTGCCATTAGAGGGGACAAAAAAGGAAATGATGATGAGAGTTTCAACAGAAGAGCACAATTTGAACGAACTTGTCTGGAGATTACTGTCCAAGGCAGCAGCTTTCTGAACTTTGTCAATGCCCAGCCCAACCTCTTTGGTACTTTCTATACAGTTCTAACTGAAGATGAGAAGAAGTGCCCTTGGAAGTGCTCTGATAGAACAATGGTCTTCCCAGTGAAAATATCTCCTTCTGTCCCTCCTCCACTGATGCAGACTTCCCATCTGGCTGAGGAAGTGGGGCCAGGAGCTCCTCCCCTAACTCCATCTTCAACCTCACACCCCAGACAGGTGCGCGTCTGGTTGGAATTGGCAATGAGATGCCAAGAGACTTACCACTCAAAGTCCCAGTCAGCACAGACACAGGGTTCTGAGACCACCGTCCCTGAGGAGTCTCGGCCCAGGGCACACTGAGCTCCTGGCTTGCGTTTCTTGAATATTTTCCTTTCTCCCATGACACAAGGCTCCCCCTTAGAAAGAAAATCCGTAGTAAGAGAGGCAGAAAAAACACAGAGAAGGTGAAATAAACTAGCTCCCCAACAAGAAGCATTAGGCTTTTCATTCTCTTTTGGTCACTCTACGTAGCAGTCTCATTCCCAGTGACCATTCTGGAGTTTAAAGGATACAAAGGCTGCTCTCTTACTACCACACACACACACACACACACACACACACACACACACACACACACACACACANACAAGTGTCCCAGAAGGCAACTCATTCCTAGGAGCCCTCATATAACTTTAAGGCAAGCCCTTTCTGTTACCTTTTCTGACTATCCACTGGTCTCTGACAAACTTAATTCTTAGGGAAGATTTATTCCTGGCTCCTCACCAGTGCCATGGCGAAGGTTGCTGCAAAATGCCTCCCTAGAGTGAGCATCAGGCTAGGAGGTTTACAAGGCTATTGAGTAGAAACATAATTATTTATGCAAAATTCATCCATGACTAACACCTGCTCTGGATGGAAGGGTGAAAATTGTGAAAGGTGATGGTGTTCCACAAATAAACACTTCTGAGAACCCATAACATTTCCTTCTTAAAGCAGAGGAGGGATACAGGTACATAATACCCCACTTTTGTTAATCCAGGCTGCACACCTTAACTTTTCCACCAACATCAAGATATTTTATCATCCTCTCCAGTCTGCAAAACTTCCCCCAAACCCAATCTGATTAAACTAGGCTACGCACTCTCCCTACTCTCTCTGAAACCTAAAAGCTGCCTGGACCATTCAAATGGCTATGACCTGATATGGCTTACACAAACAACTAAGCAAAATATGCATGATAATTTCTTATACTAACTGAGCTGAGAGTTTCTGATTCCTTAGCTAATAATACTTCCTGGGAGGAAGGGCCATCGAGAAAGACACAGGCTATACACTATTTTCCAGCACGAGCATTAAAGAAAAACTATTTTTGATTGAAAAACTATATTTTTTAACTGATAACTATGCTTATTGAAGTTGACTTAAAAACAGACCATTTTAAATCCTCAATCCCATTGTCCACAAAAATCACTGTAAACCTCCTGGAAATTTCAGAAATCAAATGGCCAATTCCATACTTAAAGGCAGGATAAAAATACTTTTTAGGCCACTTGATTTTTTTTTTGCCGTTGTTCTCAGATTATGACCAGTAACTTAGCACCCAGCCTGGTGTGCCTGTTTTTCCTACATCAGATTCAAGTGGTTCTTCTATCTTCTTTTTAATACGAGGTATGGTGGGCTATAGAAACACAAACATACAATACCTTATATAACTCCTCCAAAATTCTATGACATCTTCTTGAATACCACAACACCTATTACAATTCCAGTACAAATGGTCAAAACTACTTCATTTGTAACTGTTTTAGAGTTAATGGAAGCTTTTATATTAAACTTCATCAATATCAGTTAAGCTAGGTCATTTGAGGGTGAGTTTTAATTTTACGATAACTAAACTTGGGAATCCTATTTCTTCTGAAGCATAAAGTGAACCTAAAANCCTCACTATTTTACTACATATTTTTATATCTAATAATATCTAGTGTATAAAATGTTATTACATAGTATCATATTCTTTCTGCTCTTGAGGTTATTTAATCTTTGCATCTGTACACTATACAATGTTGTATATTGTATATAATACTATACAATGTTGTGCCATTACTGCACATCTCTTTGCAACTCTGCATTCACTGATGTCATGTCGGTAGCCTGAAATCGGCCATGGTGGGAATATTTATAGCAATCAGCAAATGCTGCTCATTGGGGCTTATTTATTTAGTTGTTTGCTCCCAGAGAACGGGTAGTTAAATCTTTACCATCACACCACTGAATACCTGATTTCTAAGCACTGTCTATCTGTAGAAACATTTAGGTTGTGGTGTATCTGCACTGCTTCTAGAAAATTCCCCAGTTTCTTTATGAGATAAATCTGTTGAATGTCCTGCTAGCCTTACAAAATTTAGTAATCTCTGAAGGAAGGGTGCTCTCCTAAGCAGCTTTGGGAGGGAGAAAAATGCCTTGATGCTCTTCGCTAAATGCAACCATCGTTAGCAGTGCTGTTCAGCTCCGCTACCTGTTAACGATACAGTAATTAAAAATGGGGCATCAAACATGCCGCTTTGCCCCAAAGAGAAAAGGCACCTCATTAATATTTAATAACATTAATGGAAATATCACTGGTTGCCCCTAAGCTGTGGACTCCTTCATTAACTTCCGCTGAATGTATATTCGTTTCTTTCATACAGCCCAACCTCCCTCTCAGCTCTGGAGTTTGCATGATTTAGACAAACAAGCAGTTTCAGCTGCTGTTCCAGCTGCCTGGGGAAAGGCGTTTTTCTGTTGAATTATGAAGTTTGGAGAGAATGTACCAGGAACTTTGAATTGCCTCAGGGAAATATGCTGCCACAGCTTCTGCAAACACTCAAACAGTTTCCTTCAAGAAATGTTACCTCTGCGTCTTTCTTAAAAGGGTTTAAAACTCTTAAAAGTTTAGGGGAAAACTTGTCCATTTCTAG